CACACACACACACACACACACACACACACACACACACACACACCTATAGCCTTGTGTAAGTGAGTTCAATCTCTTTCACAGATGCAAATATTAGGCTTCTCCTACATCTGTTTCCTGCTCGAACCTTTCATTATGAACCGAGAATGCAATCCTCTTATGAGATATAAAATATAAAAGTCTATTGTGTATATATACATGCGTGTGTGTGAGGGTGTGGGGGCTGAATGGTCATGGCCTTTCTTTCATTTTATGCCTATAAATGAATATCTTACTCAAGCCCTTAAAGCAAATGACATATCATTTGTCATATGAGTTTTCTTTTTTTCCCCCCTCAAAAATGACATTTTGCAGGACTTATCTCCCCCAAAAGTGATGATGTCATAGCTGTGGTCAGTGTCAGTGCTAAACTACTCAGTGCTGGATTTGCCTTGAACTAATAGCTGGACATTGTCACCATTTGTTTATTCATCCAGCCGACACTTCTATGAAGCATCTCTTGCAGGAACCCACAGGATGCATTAGTCATTATCTGCTGATTTATTCCTACTTTAAAAAACATTCCTGAGTCAATGCTCGAGGTCAAAGATTGAACTCTTGCCCTTTTCTACGCAATTCTCCTCCAGGTCACACTTGCTTGCCACTAAACCACTTTATTATCCTCTTATTAACCACAAAAAATAAAAATAAGAAATGAGCTAAATACATTTCTCTGTGATTTTTTTCTTTTTGTCTAATTTGAGAAGTGAAGACATCCGGCGAGCTAAGCGGAAGAAGTCTGACGAGTGTGGTGTGACTTTGAAAAGTTCTTCATGCTTCATTTTGGCAGCATCAAACCAAAGTATGTGAAGAAGAAGGAAAGAAGGACAACCATCAGACAAGTGCAGCCCGCGGACAGACGGACGGACAGACGCGTCACGCTGACCTATATTACTTTTGCCCGCTGAGAAAGAGAGAGAGAGGGGAGATGAGAGCAAGAGAACTTGTGTGGAGGTGACAGGTGTCTGTCCTTCTCCTCTGCATCTCCTCCACCTCTCAGGCATCTGAGGCAGTAATTGGTGCTGTCAGGCACACAGAGGAGGACGGGACACACACACACACACACACACACACACACGTCTGGTCACAGCTGCACACACACACTCCTGCCCTTCAGCATGTTCCTCTAGGGCTTAAGGCAGGAGAGGTTCGAGAGGAGAATTCACAACATTCCTTACCAGCTGTGAGACAGAGAGACAGCGGGAGAGGGCAAGGGAGTGCCAAGTGGAAATGGAGGAGGGGGAAGAGGAAGCAGAGAGAGAGAGAGAGAGAACAGAAACAGAATGCACAAGAGACTGAGACGTGGAGAGAAAGGAAAAGCAAGAGAGGGAACGAAGCGTGGGGGGGAGTAAAGGGGGGAGTTCAGGCTCTGTATGGGGTGGATGAGGGCGACCGACTGTATGTGGCAGAAAGAGAGAGACGGGGAGAGAGATATTATGCAACTCCAGCGGGGACAAAGAAGAAGAGTGTGACATCATGCGATGGAGCAGCAGAGCCGGAAAAAACCCTCAAAAGGTGGATGAAAAAAACGAATGAAATCATCAAGTATTTAATATGCTTAGTATTTAAACTGCATCATGAAATGTAGTGATAGGACTAGTGATTTATATTTTACTGAAGCAAAAGGCTTATAAGGCTTATTCCTCTTCTATTTGTCCGTGTGTGTATAGTAGAGGTGAGCATGCAATTCAATATTCAAACTGAAGATACTTAGCATTCATTTTGCATTCGTTTTGAGCCGTTGAGCGGTTTACACCAACATGCATAAAATACCTGTTACCATGTCTACTGACTTGTGTCTGATCATAATGAAACTGCTTTTATGTTTACATATGTCTGTGCTTGTGATGATGATAATGCCAGGTGTGTTCAGGTTACAGTGCGGAAGGGGTAACTATTTTCAACCGCATTACGAGATAAAGCAAATGTTCTGTTATAGATGAGTATTCTTTACATTTCTGTTGCTGACAAATTAATAAAAGGAATATTGATGTGACACTAGAATGCGCGTTGATTTTACTGTCTCCTCCTATAGAGTCTATTTCCTCTGTAATCAGTACAAAATTAAACAGTTTATTTCAGGAAATGTCCTACAAAATTTAAATAAATGGTTCTTCCTAAATACATCCAAATATATAAACCTATATATTGTGATTTTTTTAAGGACTGACTGAAGAATGAGCCAAACAGTTTTTAGATTATAAAAAAAAGTAACTAATTATGATTTTTTTTTTGGCTTGCTAACCCTATTTGCCATGAATCCTAATATTATACCTGCCAGTCATGTACTGCTTGTTCGTACCTGAGCAGAAGGGCCAGAGCAGCATAAAACAATTCAGCAGATTTAACTGATACGATGTGTCCAACAATAACAACGTGAATAGATACACACACATTCAGACACGCGTTGCTCATAACTTTAGGGAATAGGAAGCAAGCATTGTGTGAGAAAAGAGAAAAAGAGAAAGATGAACCCGTGATCTCTAAATGTTTAATGAGTGAAGACAGAGGAGATGAGGACTGTAAGGAGGAGGACAGACAGAAAGAAAAATGGTGAGGTGAAAAAGGAACACAGTATCACAAAGGCTGGTTAAGGAGAAAAATGGGGGGCTCGGGCCCATTATAGAAACAGATACCAGAGCAAGGTTAGAAAATAGCCGAGAGGGAGGGAGAGAGGCAGAGATTGAGGGGAAAAAAGCTGTAATTGGAGGTGTCTGGTGTTTGTCTAACACAGAGAGGGAAGTAATGATTCCATTAGCGCCTCACGCCGAGAGGAGGAGAGACAGGGACACAGAGAGAGAGAGAGAGAGAGAATGGGAGCCAGAGGGAGTGTCTCACAGTCACCAAGAGCCGAGACTTGAGGCCAAAACAATACACAACAAGCAAGATTCACACAGAAGACGTGTACAATAGAGCAACGAGCATAAAAGCAGCTAAATGCTAAAGAGAATTTTAAACAAAATGAACAAGAAAAATCCAATGCAAGACCTCCATTAAACAGGCCTGTTCACCTGCACGGTGATGGCAATTACAAATGCCGCTCCAGTCCTTTCCCCCGTGCGCTCTTTGTGCGGTGTGAAATGAGAGCGGCTGATTTAAATGCATTAGCCGAGTGTGTTTTCCCTATGGGCGACCTACAGACTGTGTCGGGGCAGCAACCTTTTGTTTGGAGCAGATGCGGAGCGCTGAGAGGACTTTAAAAGCCCGGCCCTCATTCTCTCAGGGACACATTAAAGCGCAGTGCACCGGGTTGTTGTACCCTGCGCGTCCTCTCGTGTCTTTGTTAAAAGCGTGCTGATTACAGATGCAGTAACGTTAGGCGGCTAAGTGAACTCGGGCTTTTGCGAGTAAAACGGCATTGATGCCATTGTGATGAATAAATCTGGTTTTCAAGATGTTCTGGTGGCATTATCTGACAGGCTGCAAACAAATACAAGATGTGCAATTATCCTGCAGTAACAGGAGGAAATTTCATTGCTCTGCAAATCCTGGACGAGATTCCACCCAAAAAAAAACAGGTTTTTTCCCAATACCCAGTAGGTGGAATAGACCACCCTGCCGTGGCGAGGTTTCAATCCATCACGCAGGAATTCAAATCTGTTGGAAAAATTATTTTTGATTGTTTTCAGAATAATTACTACACAAAACAAGCCTTAAAATGAACTGGAATGAAAGACGTGGCTCACTCTCTCTCACCGTTGCGGACACCTGTTTTGCCTCCAATAACACGCGCGCACACACACACATCTGTATTGGCCTTAGACTTATTAGACAAGGGACACATATATTTTCTGGCTTTTGACCTCAGACTGTCACAGTAAATCAGCCCGCGACTACAGCACACATTCACTATCACACACACACATGCGGTTATAGAGTTAAAGCTAGCTTGTTAAACGTACTCCCCTTGCTCGATTTATTCTCCACGGATTGATAAGATCCGAGAGCAGACTGACGAGGTCGTGGAGTTTTACCGAGGTCAACCGCCCCTCCTGCGTCAGGCTGACTTTGAACAGTTTCGGTGAAATACTTGAGATCCCCCCCCTGTCAAATAAGCACGTGTCATTTTTAGCCAGACAGACACACAGCTAAGCATTTCGCGATTGAGATGCAGCCGGGGGTCCGCCGCAATCTGTGCACATCACCAGTCTGAAGGCAGCGGAGCAGCTTCTGTTCTTACTCCCTCGTCTCTGAGGCCCAGCTGCCGAGTTCCGTGGGCGTCTCGGCTGCTTCTCCAAAACAACTGAAATTGTATTACGTGCCCAATTTCCAAGTTCGCAGTGATGAATATCTATGAATCCATTTTCTTTTTCGGAGAGGGAGCAAACCCCTCGGGGACAAGTGGCGGCGCAAGTCTAATGCAGCTCGTACACTCAGTAGGTACACACAAACAGACGCACACATACTGCACTTGCCGTCCGGGGAGTTTTACGATGCAATAATCTGCCTCGCATACCCTTTCCTTTACTAGAAGTCAAACACACACACACATAACATGCTCCCCTACTCAGCAGAGAAAATAAGACATTCAGCTCTGACAGACACACACACACACACACACACACACAGAAAAAAGAGGAGATGCCTTAAAACAACTTCTACGGAAACATGTTCTCTGCCAGAGCTGTCATCACAATGTTGGAAGCTGACATCCACGCTGGCACCTACACACATACACACATACACGGGCAAAAAAACTCTGAAAGTTTTCCGCACATACTCGAAGACACAAGGGCGCGCACGTACCTTTAATTATTTGTTTACACGTCAAGGTCTGAGAGAGCAGAATGGATTTGGTTGCTGCGGTTAGTTTAAATTGTTGAGGAATCTCACTCGTCACTCCAATCAAGTGGCTTTCATGTCATAAAAACAACCTTTATGAGACCTGTGCATGCAGAGATAAATATGCACACAAAGTTATACAAATACATCCCACACGTGTCCCCCAGACCCCCTCCACTCACGCTGGCAGCCGTCCTTGTTCTCCTCGAAGCCCGGCTTGCACACACACCTCCCGATGGGAACCAGCCAGCCTCCATCTGCACTGCAGTACATCTTTGGAGCCTCAAACTCCTCGGAGGCGTTCACGCACACGCCGCGGACCTCCACCAGCGCCGTGTCGCCGCCCGTTATCGTGTCGGGGAACTGGGCCAAGTTAAGCACAGTGAGGGGACACTTCTTGTAGAAGACCCGGACGGAGACCAGAGCGATGCATGCGCCGAGGTCCTGGAAGGCCAGGTAGAAACCCTTCTTGCTCAGGTTGCTGATGTCGCGCACCTCCGTATTCAGCTTCATGACGCGGTCTCCAACGTCCACCTGAGGAAGAGGAATTATAATTTTAAATTGTTATTTTAAATGTGTTAGTTAGTTAGTAGATTCAACGATTTCTTTTCAATGCAGGGGTAAGAATTGGATTTGGGCATAATGCTGCTGCGTAGTGTATAAAAATGAAAAATTATCACCTCAATTTGGCAAGCAAATGAGATAAGATTAGTATCTGTCTGTGGCAAATGTTCAATATCTCATTTTTTTTGCACGTAAGAGCTTATGTGTGTGCGTGTGTGTCCATACCTGTGTAAAACTCTCATCTGCAGCAATTGTGTCAATCTTCACATACTGGCTTTCCTTGATGAACCACAGGTTGGCATTGTTGGACTCATAGTAGTACATGTTGAACGTCTGCAAGAGAAACATGCATCCCCTTATACAAACTGAACTTAACAGACGAAACAGTGCAACACGCAGAAAAAGGAGTCCCTCCAGTGTGACATTTTAACGAGCCTCCCATAGTCCAGCAGCTATTCTGCTGCTTTCTCTTCAAATCTCGGTCCATCTGTCTCGTTGGCCGGTCAGCAACACTGTCTGTAGTTTCATGAAAGTGCAGCTCTGCACTCATCTCATTTTATCTACACAACTCATTCTAGAGATGTAATGAGGGTGAGGAGGGCAGACAAAGTGGGGAGAAATGAATACAGAGAGAGCAGTGATATTAGGCTGATATCAGAGAACGGGGGACAGTTTAAAAATAATATCCTCAGTTAAAGTATAGGAAGAGCCTCAAAAAAAGCCTTTGGAGAATGGGCTCTTTCATTCGACAGCTAATCTCACATGTGATTGTTTCCCTACTTTTGTCTGTTATCTTATATCTATTCACAAGCCAAAAAGAGGGGAATATAGTTTGTGTTGAATGGAAAAAAAATCCTCAGCTCTGCGGTGCCATTTGGTATAATGGGAAAAAAAGCATTGATTTCATAATTAAAGTAGAGACAATTACATCTGCCTTTTGACTGGACTCAACCAATATTATATAATATTATAAGTGCAGGGACACAGTATCCTTCCCTAAAACGCAATACATTTTTATGTTTAAACTGGCCTCCATCAATATAATACATTCCTGCTTGCTTCTCCAGTTGAATGCTGCTTTGCTGTCTCCATGTCTACATTTTCTGCCGCAGTAAAAAAAAAAGAAAAAGAAAACGATCCAGTAAAATTTCATATCAGATGAAATATGGAGATCAGGCCGATTTAATAAAAAATGCAGACGTGTTATGAAGTTAATTTGCTTACTTATTTGATGCCCACCAGCTATGCCCACTAAACATATAGTGTGTGCGGAAAGCTAAATGGGTTCCAATTTGTGATTAAACTATTTTCATGACAAATACAAGTCAGAGAATACTATGTAGCAATGCAGAACTCTGGACTCCAAACAATGTCCAATCTCCATGTTACAAATCAAATATTCTCCTGTGCTAAAAATCTCCAAAACAGAAATCACACTGCACACACCAGCGCGCATGGAGCTTGTCAAAATGTAATATCGATTGCAGCTCTAATGCAAGAAAGAGGACTTAAACACACACACACACTAAATACAAGGACATTTGATATCTCCAAATGTCCTTGTATGCTGAAAAGCTTGCGCGTGCATCCTCCTGAGTGCTTGTTTGCGTGTATGACGGGATGCAGACCTCCTTGCAGGTCCCAGGGACTCCGGGCAGGCTGTTACAGTCCCGCAGGGTGAACTTGATCTCAATGTGGACGCGCTGCGCTCCCTCTCTGCTGATGTGGCGCGTCCTCAGCCAGTTGTTCTGGTTGGCCTCCATGACGTTACACACCTGATAGGTCCTCATCGGGGTGTTCCTCTCATCCATCACACTGATCTCCTCCCACTGAGGATGAGGAAGAGTAGGTTTAGAGAGATTTCTTTAACAAGACATTTCTGATTGAATTTTCTTTCTTTTTTTGATGGAGAGCAAAAGAAATGGGATGCCAGAAGAATGAAGGAAGATAGAAGCTAACAAAACATTAAAGTATTAGGAGAGATTTGAGGAAATGTTATTAAAATAATAAGGAGAAGTCACGGAAAGAGTGGTTGAGCCAGATGACACGGGGGGAGGAAGGTAAGAAGAGTCCCAAAAAGAAGAGTGACTGCTTGAGTGTTTGAGTTGACGGAGGAAATCCCCTCCACTCAAACATCTTTTTCAATTCAAATTAGGGGGAGTGCCCCTTTCAAGCGCCCCGGGGGGGGGGGGGGGGGGCGGCCTGACAACAGGACCGCTCGGCTGTGAGATCGGCTCATTTCATCGCCGGGCAACAGACAAAAGGAGATCTCCTTGAAATGATTGCTTTACGGGAAACTGGGCAACACGTTCAATGAAGTGTGGTTTGGATGCAGAGGCAGGCTGAGCCCTCTGTTCTCATGTCTGGGTGAACATGACTGATGATCTGTGTCAAGATGACTGAAGCGCTGTCTTTGTCCGTGCCGCACGTGTGCATAGAGCGAGCGTGTTTTTCTAAAGCGAATGCGTGATTTAGCGTTGTAGAGGTAAGGGGTATTTGTGTGTGTGTGTGTGTGTGTGAGAGAGCAGGAGGAAGCGAGAGGGAGTAGGTAAGACAGAGCTACTTTGTCTCCCGTCATCTGCTACCATCTGTTTCCACTTCTGACTAAGGCAGTAATTGAGAACACTTCTCGCATGAGCAGGGAAACATTTCTATCTACACACACACACAAAGAGAGAAATAACATTTCTATTCCTTGAAGAAAGAATAAATGTGGTTTCAGTGACTGTTTCAGATATCAATTCAAGGGCAAGCTAATTGAATTTTTTTTTGGACCCCCCCTACACACAAAACACAAACCCACTCACACACAAACAACCTGGATGAGTCCTAGTTTGTGTTAAAGGGAAAGTCCGACCGCGTAGACACGCGCCCCGTTACAAACACGCACGGTACACACAGTCACACGTACACACACCGACACACATTGTGCTAACTGCATTTTAGCATGTTCAGATGAGAAAACGAGAAAACGCTCAGGCAAGTTAAAGCTACGGTTGGAATCTCCAGATTAATCAAATGTGACGTGCCAACAACCCAGCATTTCACCTGAGCCCTGAGCGCTAAAACAGATCCACATAAAAAGCACACACACAGGCTCGGTTAAAACGTCTACTGTGGATGCATTGGAGCTCAAACAAAACCTTCTCCCCCTTGATCCTGACCCAACAGTACTTCAGCTGCAGAAACAGAGAGGGGGGGAAGGAATGTGAGAAGTAGAGGAGGAGAGGGGGGAGGCAGGGAAATTGTTTATACTGCTGCTGTCAGCTGACTGAAATGTCAAACGGCAGCCAGCTTTAGGATTGCACATATAAAGGATGTATCACTGGAGTCTTTCTGGAGATTATGCGCACACAACAACTGAGGGCCCGCTATTCAATTAAAAGAACAAAACCCAAGACGGGGGAAGAAAGAAAGAGGGAGGAATGAATGTTCCTGGTAATTTACAGGCGCGCCTGGCAGCTAAATAGACCCATCTGTGCAGAACTGAGACCAGTCGGACATCACAGGACGGTCACACACACACACACACACACACACACACACACACACAAAGCTGAGTCCCAAGGGAGTGGTGATTAAAGCATTTATGGGAATAGTCATTGAGGGATAAAGAGAGCTTTATGATGTCTTTGTTTATTTCTTTCTAGGCAGAGTTAGAGTGGCTGGATTACTGCCACTTCCTGTTGAGCGAATTATTTCCCTAGTTGGCTAGAGTCTGTTCATTGTCACATTTGCCTGGTGTAAAGCACAGGTGTGTGTGTGTGTGTTTGGGAACATGAAAACAACCTGCTTCCCCCCCTGGTTTAATAACGATACACAAGCCACCTGAGAGAGAAATCGAGCAAAAACACAACTGGAAAAATGTTTGGTTAGGCTGAAGAGTTTAAGCGCCCATTCTTTCCCTCTCTAAACACACACACACACACACACACACACACACACACACACACACACACACACACACACACACACACACACACACACATATATCAAGTGTTGGTTCAGCCTGAACAGCAATTAACAACCAGAAGGAAACCCTCCTCCCCGAACCTTCAATCACCTTCGCCAATCAGCACAGAGCCCGCTTGATTGCTTTGAAGTGAAGCAGAGACGTCGGATCGGGGTTTAAGTTCAACCATTCAACCAGCTTAACATAATATGCCTCCTTCTGCAATCATCTGATGGCTTCACCTACGAGGACGTAATTGGCCCCCGAACTCTGCAACAAGCTCTGGCTTAGTGAGGAGAGGGTAAAAGCAGAGATATAACATGAAGAAAGAGTAAGGAATGAGGGGGGGGGGGGAAAGGGGGGAGGAGGGGGAGCCTCTGGGGGAGTAGGGATGCTGTGGGGGCCCCTCGATCTTCAAACATCATTAAGACGTATCCTGTTTCTGTGTCGCTCACAGGGAACCGCCCCTGCCTGGGGGACAAAAGCCGGGCGCTCACGCCGTCTCTGGGCACGTCCGGGCGCGGGCGCGGTTTGGATTAAGCTTGACCCTTCGGGGGTCAAGTGTGGTTTTGAACTAATTCAGGAAGACAGTGGTCTCAGGTTGGTGGGAATTGCCTCTCGTTGAGACCAGTCTTCAGGTTTAAAGAACAAAGGTCAACTAGATAATCCCCCTGTTATGAAACATAAGTCTTTCTCACAGCCATTGGCACCTTTCTACTCTCGCTCTGTCACTCACTGTCCTTTCTCTTCTGCATTTATAGAATATAAATCATTGCCTCATTCATTTTGAGACATATGACTATATTAGACAAACCGTGTCCGACACTCTATGCCAGCATATACTTTGCTGGATTGTTTTCGATCAATTTGCTGCATTTAGGGTTTTACAATATGATGTTTGTCCAGAAAATGCAAGTAGAAGTTCTCTTCGGCAAGAAGCATTTAGCTTCACCAAGTCCAAGTCCACGTTGCAATAATTAACTTGTGATGGTCCCAGTGTGGGTTTGTGTCCTGTTTTATTTTGCAGGTGCCTTCCTTCTTGTGTCCCTGCTTCAGCTTCACTTCCTGTCGTGTCCACGCCTGCGATTGTCTGCCGTGTCCCTGATTGTTTCCACCTGTGTCCAATCACCGTCCCAGTGTATGTAAGCCATGTGTGTCCCTCGTCCCTTGTCGTTAAATGTCTTTCCGGTCTCTTTGTGAGTTCCTGGTCCTTGTCTGTGGTTTGTCCTTAATTGAAATAAAGCCTGTATTATTATTTGACACTCTGCATTTGAGTCCTGCTCCCTGTTGAGACACTGATTCGTCACCACAGGTTGGGATAGTTTTGCCATGCAGGTAAATTTAAGCCTGTTGCACATGTGTTCTCACCGACGCGGTAGGAGCTCGTCATCCTTTTCTGCCGGTGTTCTCCAGTACTTAAAACTGTGCTGTTCACCGTGTAGCACAGAACGAGGTTCCATACGTTATTGCATTCATGCACCATTGTTGTTTAAACACTAAATGCAACGTTCCATTTAATAGAATTGAATGCAGCCTCCTAAAGGTTCTTTGTTGAGCAACTGACTCCGAGTACGGCAAGCGCGCACACACAGGACCACTCACTGCAATACCAGAGTGGGTTTGTTTATTTATGGTTACAATATCGGGGGGGCGCCTTGGCACAGAATATGTGCATATCTTGTTGCTAGACCTGTTTTATCCCTACTAGCTCAACTGAATGTTTTCTGCATGAGACTATCCTCTGAAGGACACAGAGGAAATGTTTGCATCTTTTCTGTGGCTTTTACTAGATTAAAAGTCAGGCCGGATATCGTGCAGAAACTGTTGCGGATGGTGACCTAACTCGCCCTCGCTCAAAGATCAAGAGCTTCAAATACAGCAAACAAAGCCTTCTGGCTCTTTAAGAGAAACAAGATTGCACTGCATGGCAGTCATAGCTAATGGAAGAAAACTGTGCGGCTATTTAAAGAAGCAGACGCAGGCAATTTGGCCTTTTCGCGATTGCCTTTTAAGTTGCAGTGGAGTCAAAATGAGAGAGTGGGATCATATTCATCAAGGAGGAAGATAACTTCTTTTTCGTGTACCGTGGCGAAAAACCATGACGGCAAAGTGTTTACCCAATTTAATAAACCCTTGTGCTGACCCCAAAGAAAAGACACCGTGAAAACACGTTTGAGTTTACAATCGTTCGGCCTTATGAAGGATCTATTTGTTGTATATCTGAGAGATGAGTTGTGCGGATGCCCACTAAGCCTCCGTTTCTATGCTCATTTGGGGAGGAGGTGTCTGATCCCCACTATGTTGACAGCTCATGAAATAAGGACAGGATGGAGTTTATTATACATCTTTCTTTCCAGCTAATGCATTTCTTTCAGGATAAACTAGAAACACATGTGATTTTCCGGGGCCCTGACGTCGCCATGCCAAACTGAACCTTATTTTCACCGAAAAAAATGGTTTACTCTTTGGATTTAAGATTTAGAAACCTCTGTGAAAACGGAATAATACACACAAACATCCCAAATAAGGCCCACCGATCAGAGCGTTTTCAGCAAAGTGAACTTGAAACCCGTGATTGCTGGAGAAAGCAGCCTTGCTCTGCTCGCTCTTCAGCCGCCTCTCCGCTGCGCACAACCATGAAACCGCGTGTGGCATCCTGCGACTCAACGCGCTAATGCTGAATAGTGGAGAGGAAGCGTCTCTCAAGGGGAAATAGAATCAATTCAGGGTCTATCAACACCTCCGTGCACTCGAGCTTCATACTCATACCCGCTCTCATTGCTTTGATTCTATGACTTTGACTTCCACGCGCTTCCTCTCTGCGCGCTCGCTCTCTTCCCTCTCCTCTCACTCCTCTGTTGTCATGTCTGATGCACGGCGACGGCACTCCAGACTTCTTCGGTGCGTGTACCTGCAAAAGGCCAGTTACATAACCCCCCCCCCTCCCCACACACACACACACACACGCAAATAACAAAAACACATACGCATCGGCTCCTCTTGCGTCACAACATTTAACCCTCGGCCCCCCCCCCCCCCAGTCCCTTTTACCCCAAAAAAAGGCCACCCCCAATAAATGGAGGCCGTGGTGCCACAGCGTTGTCAGCGCAGCGGAAATAATTTGTAAATTCCCCCTGCAGACTCCCGATTTAGCATGCAGCGCCCGCGAACCCGGTGCTCTCTAAAGCACACACTGCTGCGGCTCGCTCTGAAAAAGAACAAGGCTGCTGGATGCGATCGGATTTCCACCCTCGGCGACAGCCTTGTCGCGAACGAGAAGGTGCTCCTGGGTTTGTGAGTGCGTTTGGCTCGGCGTACTCACCCCTTCGTTGGGGTAAGCCTCCCAGCCCAGGTCAGCCAAGGCGGACATGGAGTCCAGCAACGTAACTGCAAAAGACAAAAGGAGAACATGTGAACACATACATAATAAAAACTGTTCTTTTTTTATTCCTCGGTCCCCCCGCTTCTTTGAAATAATGATGATGTTTGCAGTGAGGAAACATGATTTTATACAATGGGGTGGGCTTTTTTGTGTGTGTGAGTATAACTGCAGTGGAATCACAAGCAGTGGTAAACCTGTCATTTAAATTCAAAGATTAGTGTTTTGCTGGAGCCGTTTCGGTTCAAGGGGACTCAAAGTCAGTCAGTGAAACACCATCAACACACAGAGTATAGACAAGGGTATATTTTAAAGTTACATGCAAGTTGTGAAAAAAAAAAGTCTTCTTATTCAGAGTCGACCATTCAGGCCGCGGGCTTGAAAAACGGTCGTAAATGGCTGCTGTTCAAGGAGAGAGGAGACTGTGGTGCATTTGTATGCAAAGTGGTTTATGCCGCATAAAACGTTCCTCAAACCAAACCTGCAGAATAAATATCTACTTTTGTGAACACCTGTGTTCTCGTTCCTCATTCAACCTTCTAGATACCGTTACTGTTGTGTGAGCTGACCGGCGGAAGGATGCAGGAAGGTGAGAATGAAAAGAGAAGAGGGGAAGGTGGCAGGTTGACCAGCGTTAGGCGTGAAGAAAAAAAAACTCTGCAGCAAGGTTCTCCGCCTTCGGGTGTGCGCGCGCGTGCGTGTGTGTGTGTTCATGTGTGTGTTCACGCCTTGTTATGGCTTGACTCAGTCAGGTCCTCATTAGGCCTTCAACACTCCTGACCCTCGATATTTGACCAGTATCCATCTGCAGACTGCGGCTTTTCCTTCTATTCTCTGTTTCTCTCTCTCCCACACGTTGTGATTTTTAGGTCATCTCTCCCTCTCTCAAAATCTTTGAACCTGTGTCAGGTTCAGACGGGTGAGTTGCTGATCCGATGCAATTTAAACTGACGCCATCACTTAAAAGCAAAACACTTTCATATCCCCTCCTGCAAAAACTATTAAAAAGTCAAAGAATGCGGCCTCCGCCTGCTTGAAAATTAGCCTGATCACTTAATTGATGACGATTGCCTGTTGACAAGCCTCTTCTTGTATCCCTCCTGCCTGTAGGTATAACAAGAGGGACTGTAAAATTGCTCCGGGCCTCTTTTGTTCCCCATCTTTCGCTTCCTCTCGCCCCCGTGCTGTTCATCAGCCCTCACTGGATCCGAGCCGTTCTCCCCAGCTCAGCACACCCAGCAGGGAGGCACGTCATGCCGTATTAGTGAGAGTCCACGTATGCGTATGCGGGCGACGCAGCAACACACACACACACACGCGCACGGCGGCGTCTGCGTGCCAAACCGCCGACAGAGAAAACAGCCAGCGCCGTGTAATGAAGCAGGGAGAGACAGCGCCCAGGTGAGAGGAGGGAGAGTGAGACGGATTAAACGAGGGGGACGAGACAGACCCGGCGGAGGAGAGGTGCTGAGCAGCTAAAGGTCAGTGTGCATTCAGAGAGGCTGCGCTCATCACTTTATGGCCATTTGAGTGGCGCGCAGAAATTAGATATGATGGTGTAATAATATGTGATTTGGTGATTCTAGGGAAAGGCCCGTAGAGATACATCCGCTCCATCCATGAAAGCTTTTTTTCCCCATCAAGAAAGAATTTAGAAAGAGTCTGTTTTGCATCCAGCCAGTTATACCAACGTTGTTGTGTGTGACCCACTGACGTCCCTGCATGTGTTTCACAGGCAACTGAGAGCAACCCTGACACTCAAAGTGCAAAAAATATTTTGATATCGTTCCATTTGAATACACTTTTAGTGTTTGAATGTCCGGATAACAAAAAATTCTGAGCTCTTTGCGTACGGAATAAATTGCGCTTGGTGAAATCGTCCTTCTGTGGAAGAACCTGTGAAGTAAAGATGTGAATGTTCAACCCACTTTATATCTTTTTTTTTTTAAATCCAAAATGCTGCCTTACAGACATTCAGACTGTTCCCATACTCTGTTTGTAGCTGTTATCATACAAATAAATAAGTATAACACCTTTTGAACAGGTTGGTGTGTAGGTTTGTACTTCTAAAACTGTATTATTCAGATTTTAAATGTTGATTTTTGTAAATCATATAAGCGGCTCACTGTTTAAGCCTGGTTGTCCTTCACAAAAGGATTGATCTGTTTTTTTCACACCTGGACCAGTAAACTCTGCCGTGTCTCCTCTACTTACTTTGACAGCCTGTTTTGGCACACTAACACTTTCTCTCTATTCCCCATTCCTTTCTCCTCAAGTGTATGCAGTTTATTCCATAAAGCATTAGCACGAGTGCAAACACTACAACTCCCTTTTTTCATGGTATGTTCCAAAAGACGTACTATGCTTCTGATTCTTTCTTATTTAAAGGCATGAGCTCCATGGTATCTGATTTAACCATATAGACAATAGCTATATTCAAGCACCTCTAAAGCTCACTAACGTGTTATACCTTGTTTGTTTAGTCTGTACACAATAGTGTAGTTATACTGTAGATTACGTATCTTCTGGCTAGATCCATTATTCTTTTAGCTGTAACACAACAAAATTTGAACACATTTTTGGGACAGAACTCTAAGAAGCGGGGGAAAAAGAATCTGATTCTTTAAGACAATATTTTCTGTCTGGAGTCGCCCATCATGCTGAAAGTTAGAGTCTGTCGTGTGCACATTTTCAGCCCACTGGGAAAAAACACACGCACATGGACTACAAATCGACACTTTTCTCCTCACACCTCTTGTCAATACCACTTATCACTATAATCAATGACTGGATTCATCAATTATGTATAAGCCGAGGCTTCCTGTCTGCTGACACAGCGCATGTACCTACGTGCGTGTGTGTACCTGTGTGTCTTTGTGTGTCAAGGATGAGGAGAAAACTAAGAAATTATGAAAATATTTATTTTTCTTCCACGAACAAAAACAAAGCCACACCTCTTATCGATCTTTCCATCCATCTCTAAATGTTCCCACTCTGTCTCCCTTTCCCTCCATCCGATCTCATGGGAACGGGCTAAATTGTGTGCGCGTGTGTGTGTGTGTGTGTGTGTGTGTGTGTGTGTGTGTGTGTGTGTGTGTGTGTGAAATATAAGCCTTGGGCAGGTCTGCTTTGTCTCAGAATAAAAACCCAGCTCATCAGTCAGTCACTCTGGTCCGGCTAATATTCGATCTAATGACCAATGAAACATAAAATATATCCACTAAAATAAATCGTAACCTTTCTATAAGAAAATACCACTTCCACACGAACAAATGCACTCAGGGACACACAAACACACACAGCTAATAATTCTCAAGCTTTCATCAAAGGGCATAAATTTACGGATCCTTGCACATACACATGTGACCTGATTACTGTGAGAGTTGTTGGATTACAGAGAGACATGTTGTCTTATTGATCTTCAGTACCAAACTGTGAGGAGTGAAAGATGAGGAGGAGGAGGTGGAGGAGGAGAAGGGGGGTGAATTTGCAAATGCCTGTACGAGTGATGAAAAATGCTGCAGCTACAATACTTATGGAAGCATGTGGAGAAAAACATGTTCTTTCTTTATATATCTTGGTGTCCTCATCTCCTTCTGCATCCGACTCTTCTTCTTCTCACTCCTGTTTCCTCTGTCTGAGGTCCACCCCTCTCCCTCTCTCTCTCTCTCTCTCTCTTCTTCTCTGATTGCTTATGTCTCTCTGCCACTCTCTCTGTGGTCGGTATCCACCACCTCAGCTGGGCTGCAACAAGCTGTGATCCACCTGCCAAGAATCAAACAGCGCTGCCAACAGCCAGACGGGCGCACAAAGAGACCAGGATGCTTATACAAACACACACACACAACTGAGTCACACACACGCAGTGCCACAAAGAGAAACGCTGCTCAATAAGACCACCAGAGACTCAATATAGAGTACTATATGTGACTACATAGTGAGCGCAACACAAGATATTACATTGGTAGAGGGGAGATTTAACGACATTCAACATGCTGATACTACATGTAAGCCACCTTGTTGTTGTTCACCCAGGTTCCCCCATACGTCCCAAACGTTATTCTGCAGCAAGAAAATGCTGACAACTGCAGTCTGCTGTAATTGAGATGCTCTTTTGCGACCGAAAATCTTTTAGAAGGAGAAGACAAAAGCGAAGAGAAAACACAAATAGGATGCTGCTCCTTTCTTTTCAGTACAAATAATCTATGCTACTGTACCTCAAGGGGGTCTTTTCTTTGTCTGATTTGTCTGATTAAGTATTGCTAGAATTCCTTTCTTCATCATTCTAAAGTCCACGGTGAATTGATGTCTTCAGGGTCTGTTAAGGCGTGCACATTCGGTGAGAGATAGATGTGAAAAATATACAAATCAGCTTAAAAGTGTGCCGTGTGCATCCTCTGTCATTATTAATCAAATTCTTCTGTTCTTTTGCTGCATGTTTAAGCCGATCTGTTTTGTATTAGTGAAACAAACAAGACAAAACATAGTTACTGTTAAACTTTCAATGTGCTAGAAGGTCGTTTGTGTTAACTTTGGGAAACAGCCAGGTGAGCTGTCTCTTTGTCTTCATGCTAAACTACGCTAAGTGGCTGCTAGCAATAGCTTCTTAGTCTTGAGGTTATTTCCCAAAAGGTTGAACAATTCATTTCGGTTAATCAAAAATACATTGCAACTGAAATTGGAATGTCTTCTTCAAAACAACAAGAAAACATGTTAAAGAACTAAAAAGGAAAAAAGTGTACAGTACATGTTATTGCAGCTCGCTCTGTATGCTGAGATAACGTACTCTACTTAAACACACTCAGATGCAATAAATAAAACAGTTGCAACTGCACACAAGTACACACACACATGAACCCACTATTTCAGTATTAGTGCCGCCACACACACACACACACACACACACACAGACCTCCCCTTGCTTCCACTCTACTGAGGGTGCAGTACAACAATTGAGAGTGTTGTCAGGGCAACAAACTGGCCAGCAGAGAGCAGGATGCAGGAGTGG